CATTGAGAGTTGGTTACTAATTGTATTACTGCAATTATATAGTATATGCATATTCACACATGCCCTGAGGGAAATCTTACATATATATGTATAAATTAAAATATTGTTGGATATGAGAAATAAAAAAAATTAAATTAGATAAGATAAAAAGAAATTTAATGATAATAAAAAAAGTATAAAAATAAATATAGAACACTAAATTTGGTTGCAACACAGCTGAACAACCCTCTACAAATAAACTAGTTTTCATACAGGAACTCGATTTTGTTTGGTCAGTTTTTATGGTCGTTATATGCTATAGTGGTCCGATCCGAACAATTTTTTCGGAGATTTTTGCGATGCTCCTTGAACAAAAATCGATGCCAAAATTCGTGCAGATTATTTGTTAGATATAAAAAGTTACCAAACAAGGAAATTATGTTATTTTATTAATTTAACATCCCATCAAAATTGAATTTTTATTGCTGTAACATAATATAACAGCTTTTCTTGCAGGGTTGATGGAGGCTCTCTCTTGCTTCACAACGCTAGGGTGCTAAGCGGTTAATTTTGCATAGCCCCATTAGAACCTTGCTCTCCAAATATAACATCACACCATAATAACACCTAGTCGGCAATTTCTACACACAATTATATGTCTACATACACACATAAGTATTTATATAGGCATGTAGAAATATCTATGTACATACTATGTGGCTATTTAGCGCGATAAGAGACGTTAGTTGCCAATGAATGTCAACAAAGGTCAACTAAATTGAGCGGAGTAGAAGAAAGTTTTAGTGCTATATGGTAGGTTATCAGGAAACGAATAAATGGTGTGCTTAAGGTCTGCATTTGCGGCGGAACCACGTGGTTTTAGTGCAACAACAAGTCATTTTGCCGGTCACCTTCGCTCCAGAAAAGCTACGCTCAGTTGAGCAGGAAACTAAACTCACTTTACTCCTAAAAGCACACATACAAACATAGACGAATTTGTACTTTTACACGAAGGTAATAAAAAGTGCAAGGTACGCCACATATGACTAAATTTTGCTAGTTTCTTAGTGCAAGTCACGCCACTAATTCAGAAATGATTTACCATATTTTAATACTACAAAACACATACCCCGATTTAGATGCCTGTGTTGACGTAATTGAGTGGATACGCAAGCGTTGAGCAATGTCTTTCAGATCCTGAATGGTTTTAGCTTCTGGCTTGTGATACGACATTTTGCACTAAGTTGTTGTTTTTTTTTTACTTTGGATTAATAGAAATGTGTAGAAATCTCTTTGAGAGTTGCTAAAAAATATATATATATATTTATATTAACGTCGCGACCGCGTTCGTTCCAAACGTACCAAATCGACTGGCGTACAAAAGCAAACTGACGCTATATTGTCGGTAGGTTACCCAACTAATCAACCGGTTGCCCATTCGTTTGAATGCTTGGAGTTGTGCGATAGCTTTCATTGCGCGCTCTCCCCATTCAAACCGTCGGCTCCAGAATAGATAAAGGTGAATACATGGAAGTAAGTAGAGTAAAAGTGAGCCGATTACTGCCCTGTAGGTAAAGCCTTACCTTATCTTTGAAAGCTTTGAAAAGAAACTCAGCAATAATAAACACCTTGGAAGGATACTTTGGTTTGTAGTAATCAAGATGGAATAAAAAATAAAAGTGAGTTGTTGCGAAAGCTTTCAGCTCAGTTCTAAATCATGTCTTACAATAATTGTTTAGCCTACGAAAGAAAAACAAAAATTTGGAGTTATTTCTAAGCTGATAATCTCCTCGTTCGACTTAAACCTCTTTTCGGCGTGACTTTTAAAACACTTCATTCATAAATAGAGCCATTTTCTGTCACGTAATACTCCATGGTAAAAGCTTTTCGAAGTAAAATCCTCTCTTCATGAACAAAAACCAAACTCTAAAAGTCACTCATAATTCCCGTCCTGGTATATGGTGCAGAGGCATGGACGATCACAATATCTGATGAGTCAATGTTACTAGTTTTCGAAAGAAAGATTCTGCGAAAGATTTATCGTCTTTTGCGGCTTGGACACGGTGAATATCGCATTCGATGGAACGATGAGCGGTATGAGATATACGACGACATTCACAGAATTCAGCGAATTAAGAGACAGCGGCTGGGCTAGCTAGTTCATGTTGTCCAAATGGACAAACATTTAGATTCTCTGTACGGTTCCCCTTCCCAAAACAAGAATCGATCCATGAACTGATATTGCTGTTTTTCCATATACGACACGGAAAAGACTTTTCGCCCATGCGGTTATAAAAACTACGAGTTCGATTCGAGTGAAATCATCTACTAGAATTTGGTACAGATAGCCTCATGCGATAATAGCGCTACCTAGCGGTGAGGATAAATCGTTATCAGCCGCACTCGTATTTCCGGTTGCGATTAAGACGATTCTTTGGCATCATTGCTTCATGTAATAGAAAACCACCTTAGAAAACAGGTTGACTATACAGTAGTAATATCTTTTACTTTAATAATTTTTCCGCTCAGAAGCTCTAAAAATGTTTTCGAAAAAGGTTGAGATGTGTGAATATACTTGGAATTTCCAAATAAATCATTCTAAATACGATTTTCAATTAAAAGTTAATGAAAATCAGTGCAATTCGCAGAAGTTTCCGAACAGAAGTTTTAATTGCAAAGCTTACATATAATCAAATAAGCATTTTCAGGGCGCTCTAGCGCTTTATTTTGAAAGCTTGAATAAACTTTTTATTTATTTTAAATTTTTGGAGATGTAAAATGCTCTTTGTAGTTGAATGAGCGCTTGGTGAATTTACCATGCATTTGTAAGATTTCGAAGCCAGAGATCACTACCCTTAGGCGAGATTGAAATCCTGTGCTGCTAGTAATACGCATTCGGTTTGGTGTTAAAGACTAAAGACAGGCCATTTGTCCAACATTTTCGTGGCATCTCCGTTTTCGAGGTCATATGGATTTCTCTTCTGATAGTCTGGAATTGGCATTGCAGTTCTTTAGTGATCCTTAATAGATTGGGTAGTCGAAAAAGTCTTTTCGTATTTTGTCAATATGTCGTTGCAGTCGTACATCTCCAGTGCTACCAATCACATTATGTTATACTATACAGTGTTGGTGAGGTGAGATTTTAAGCTTCATTAATAGCGGATGCAAGCAGTCTCTAGCCACTATTTGAAGCATTTTAAGGCAAAGCCTCAATTTGTGGATCAGGATCATCACATAAGCAGCCATGACATTGCTAAGGAACTTAACAATCATCATCAAACGGTCTTGAACCATATAAAAAAGGATGGCTGCAAGAAGCTTGGCGTTTAGATACAATAAGAATAACCACAACAACCTAACAAAATCAAGTTCATGTAAGGAATCATTTGTAATTGTGAACGTTTTTTCCGTGAATAAAAACAAAATATTAATTTATAGTAAGTAATACATTTTGAAATGTTTTCATAAATGCTTTCTTCTTTCGCAAATAAAACCCATAACAATTTATTAGACTTTAATTCGTTTATTATGTATTTGTGGCGTCAAGTAAACATAAATATTTTCGGAGAATGTTTGGATTTCTCCAGCATAATATGGAAATATATAATAAATTTCGCTACACTTATTTTATTTTTGTAATAAAATAACGAAATTTCAACTCCAATATTTATTAGTTTTACACACTTATGTTTCCAACACAAATAATCGATTTAAAATGCGTTACAAATAGTCAGCGCTGTGCATGGCGCACAATTTTACATACATTCATACATTCATATATGTAGGTATAAGTATATTTTCCTTATACGTTTTGATATTCTTTTAAGCCAATGTCTTTGCTAACAACAAAAATATATTTTGACATTTTCCACAACTTTAATCATTCAAGAAACAAACTCGCCAACTTAATCAACTTTTTTCGTTTTGGATTTATCAAAAAGTATTCACGCGCAAGGTCCATATTCTAAATTCATACTTGTGCAGTCGTTAAGAGTAATGTGTGTATTCATAATCTTAATAGATGTTTACATGTAATATTCGTGATGTATGTATGCATATTGCATGTATTTGTAGTTAAATAAATATTATTAACTAACTTAAATAACGATCCAACATTGAACTTTCGCTTAGATTCGCGCTTCTGCAAGTTTAACCTACTCTTACTTAATGCTACCATTCTATAGTGTTAAATCTTTACTTGAAAATACAGGTAAATATACTGAATAGGAGCATTGAATTGTCAATTTTTTGATTCAATCAATTTAAAGTAATATATTTCATTACCTTACAAATATATAATATCAGTTTGTCCTACATACATTCACATTTATTATAAGTGTTAACAAATCTTAATGTTAATTTCCTAAAAAGTACAAAATATAAATTAAAACGAGCTAAATTACAATGGAGAGTTTATTTTACAAAATAAATAAATAAATACTATTTATAAAAAATATAATAAAGTGATTGCTATAAAATATTGAAGTTTGTATAAACATGATTTGGCAGGATTAACAAAAACAAAGAAAAAATAAATACAATAAGGTGACACCGATAAACCAATTCTGCAAATGGTATAAAGAGTTTAACATTAATTTGTAAATAAAAAAATTGCACGGACTTTAAATGTGTAAATAATTTGCGACTTTTATAGTTATAATAAAGAAAATTGTTAATATAATAAAATATTGCCATTTTTTTTTTTTTTTTTTGCTGTCATACTCTCTATTTGTATGCATATCACGAATATCGCACTTTATAAAAGTACCTAAGCATAGTGAATTGCTAAAGAAGGGACAAAACGTGAATTTCGAAAATAAATCAAACATTTTGCGGCATTATTAGAAGGTGTCGATAAATAGAAAACACAATAATCTTAAATATAATCGCTTCAATTAACTATATACACACTGCTGCAGCTTGTTAGCGAATTGTTATAGGTTCAACTGAAGCTTTCACATATACTAAGCTTAAACGTAGTGCAATATCTCAATGGAAGTACTCCGTCTCACTTCATTACACTTTCGTTGCACTTGTCTTTTGTTCCACAATGTTGTGTGTGTGTGTGGGTATAAGTGAGACTTTTCATTCCAGCGAAATGCCTTGTATCCAGGAGCTCAAATCGCTGGAGTCAGCTTCCATAACGACTTCGATCGGTTCATCTGTGGAAAGTAAGTACTGAGCGGCAGTACGACCAGTCAAATAGGCACCATGTACGGTTGAATAAAAATTGGAGTGTGTATGCTCGCCGGCGAACAGTACTGCGGGCTGAAAGGGTGAAGGGAACTTTTTTCAGTTTCATTATTTATGAAGGAGCTTAATTTAAAGAGCTATTTTCCAACCAATATTAGGTTTGATTAAAATAATAAAAAAATAAAATAAACATAGAAAAAAATAAATAAATAAATAAAACATTTACGCACCTTATGCGCTTGTGGGTTGACGTAAAGTGGTTGCGCTAACAGTTCAATATCCTCTTGTGTTGCTCCAATAGGTATCGATGTGTATGAGCCACGAGTGTACGGCTGCGACTTCCAACTTGTGCTAAAAACGAGGGTTTGACAAATAAATTAATTAAATTCTAAAATAGGTATTTTAAATATCTACATACCACACACAAAGCTTGGGTTTCGGCACATACGGGTCTTTCAAGAATGCACGTAATATTTCGGTACATTTTTCTGCCACTTCTTCATGCGACAATGTCTCCATGTAGTCAGCCTCTCGTCCAGAAACCCAACCCAAAAGTAATGTTTCAGATAATTTGGCGAAGGAATAAATCTTTTTGTACCAATTCTTGCTTAAATATTCCTTTGAATTGCGTTCTTCGTCCGAAAGATGCAAATCGTACTTGTCATCGTCCCATAATAGCATTATTTCCGAAATGGAGGTGCTCATGAAAGGCCGATCGTATTCCAGAAAAATTTTATCAACCGTGCCAAACATTAAATTCTCAATTGCCTCTTGTTTATAATGTGGTAATTCAGGTGTGAAGAGCGTTTTGTGTGTTGATTTAAGCACACCTAAGGGTATGGTACATATCACATGATCAGCGTAAAAGGTTCGTCCGTCTTCACAGTCTACTCTTACAGCAGCATCAACTAAATTGCCACTCGAATCACAGTTCTCATCTGACTCAGTCGATTTTTCGCGCACGACACCATCATTAGGCTTTCCTGCTGACGTTGTTTGAGCGCCTGCTGCCGGCACTTCGGTAACTGTCTTTTCGGTATCATCTGAATCATCATCTTCAGAATTCTCATCCACCGTCTCTAGACCGGTAATTGTCTTTTTTCGTTTCCAATGAATTTTCTTTACCGGGCATTTAGTAATGATTGCCTCCTTAGGTATAGACGCAGAGAGCGGTCGCAATATAGAACTGTAGCCTTGTGGTGGTACAATGTTTCCGCCTTGCAATTCTGTGTAACTGCCTGTGTGGTAAATTAAGAAAGAAGGTAATTTAGTATAAATGGTTTTGAAAGAGGCGTTATTTTGAAAAGGCATACCTAATTCCAATAGATCCACTTCGTTCATATTGGTGCAGCCAGTAATACAAGTTTCACGCTTTAGCAAACAATTGAAGATCAATTGTTTCAAGCGCTTTTCCTTCGGATCCTGCACTGAACTTAAGTAAATTTCAATTTCGTAATTAATATGCTCGCCAACGCTATTAATATCCGGCGGTGGGCTGTATTGACACATAAAATACTCATCACATCGTCGCATAAAACACACATATGCCTCGTAAATCTCTTGTAAAATGTTAAAAGGAACCTGATTGCCATCCTCTGTTGTGGCAACAACCGTGTGTGGTTTCGGTACATTAACTACACTGACTAGACCGTGTTGTACGGCAATCTCAAAAATCGGATTTCCCAAAACGCCGTGTATCCAATTGGCACCAAGTTCGACCTGGATAAATTTAACAATTATAAAAATTAACATACATATGCATAAACATATGTTTTTGAGAAATTAATTTATAACGAAAACATATGCATATTATACATACATATGTATATACTATATAACGCACAAAGCACAAACCCACAATAAGTAGTGCATAAACTAAAATATACATTATTATTAGCACGAATTCTGTGGATCTCATGAGATAATAAGCAATTAAGTCTGCACTTCGTGTTGGTTGTCATTATTTGAATTTGTGCTACTGTGATAATTTGATTTTACTTTATTATTGTTATATTGTACATACGTAATGTGAGAATTTATCAAAAACTGGTTGATTGCTACGCTGAAGCGACAGATAATTACAGTAGGTGTACCAACCAACCTGCATATGCACGTAAATGTAGATGTTTTTGGATATGTATGAAAGAGTGTACCTGTGCCTCTATTTAAATCAAGTAAACGAGTATACAATAAAGTCTATAATTCCTGGATGATTTCATGTCAATTAAGCTAATTAAATTTTGCACTTATTTACGTACGTCCATCCATTTAATTTTTATCTAAATACATCAACAAGTACTAAGTACTATTCATCTTTACTATATAAATCTAACAAGTTGTGTATATTTCACTTTCGTTTTCTACTTTTTGGCGAAAATGCACTAAACGCATTGAGGCGTATCATCGAATTGTTTTCAAATTTTACCGGCAAAGCTTCACATGCTTATAAAAGTAATATACGCATGTGTCTATAGCGATAACACACGTGTGTGCATTCCAATCGCTATCGAAATCGTAATTTTCAAGGTGATTATGGCTACGTGCGGGTCTAGTACTTACACCAATTAAAGTACATGTGTTCTTAACCAAACAAGCATATGGTTATGCACTTGTTTAACACTTGATAATTGAATAAAACGCTTAATATGAACACTTGAATATTTGGCATAAACTTCACACAGTTTTGTTATAACTTTTTATTTATATATGTATATGATATTGACATGAAATTACCTTTTTTAAAAAAACAAAATTTTATTACAAACTATTAAGCTAATGTCAGATTAAACACTCTATAATGCATCTGGCAATAATGCAATACAAGCCCATGCCATATAAGTTCGGAATGTTTGCAAGTCGTGGGTAAGCACTACCTACACTTATATTGCATAAATTAATGTATAATTAGCATGGAATTCAGTTGCCTATATTAAATATATATTAAGAATTATTAACAATAATTATTTCTAAACGTTCAAAGTACTTATGTATATGCATACTATTGATTACTGTAATTATATGCATTTGCATCCCTTCAAAAGTAACCAAAGTATATTTAGGACCAACAAAATTGCATACGTGAGATGATACGCATATACATATATTTTAATGATATTATTTACAGCAAACGCACAAAATATTCTTAGAAACAAACACAGAATTATTAGAAATTAGATTATACCAGGAAGCAGTGTTGATATAGCCTAATAATAGCCAATAGAATAGACAAAGAGCGAAAACAACTTTTTTGCGGAAGTGCGAGCTAATTTTTGGCAAACGTTATTAGTATTTTCAGATGTATACACATGTATATAACACATTTTTGGTTGGCAAATATGTTTCAAGTTGTAAATGCCATATTACAAAATAGTTACGCACACTAAAGCCACAAACGGCCTACGTTGCTTACATAATTTCTTAAATATTTTTCAATTCCCCTACTCCATGAATAATATCTTTTTATGAATCGCTTACGCACATTACATATATACGTTTTTATAACCCCTTACTCTTTGTGAACGAAGCGGTATTGAAATAATACGACCGCCGATCCGGCTACGTGCTTCAAGAATGCGAAAATCATTGCATCCATTATGAAGAAAATGATTTGCGGCAGAAAGTCCTGCCATGCCTGCACCTATAATCAGCACCTTCACCTTCAAAGGCTGCTGCTGTTGCTGCGTAATCGTTTCGTTGTTGGTTGAAACACTTGTACTTGCTACCTCTTGGGTGCTTGGCGAAGGCATTGGTGCAGTTTCACCCATTTTCTATGAATTACACTTTGCTTGCTAAATGTTTAAGCACACTTCATTAGCGCATTTATCTCCAACGTCTTATTATTTTTTGGTCAATATTTTCATCTAACCGGATTTTTCTCACACTTTTCCGCAATATTTTATCGATCTAATTTGAAAGCTTATTAGATGACAGTTTAAGTGTCATTTCACTCGTTTTCTCACTTGTACATGCATCAGCTGTTTTGTGCTAATTGGAAAAAGTTAAGAGTTGCCATCCCCTCGGTATTTTACTAAGACATCTCGATATTGCTTACTTAGAAATTATGTATTTGTTATAGAAAAATCTGGACAGAAGAAATATCGATGAACTATATACTTAACTAAATTAATTTCTTTTTCTTTTTAAGAATGAATAAAAACGTGTAAAAGATTATCTAAATCTATACAGTGATATGCTCGCTATGATTCAATTAAAATGAAGTAGTGTACATTTAGAATATTCCAGTTGTTTTTAAATGAACTTAAGTGACTAACTCAACTTGACTGGTTATACCTTGATGTGAATTAAAAATTATATGCATATATCTAAAGGAAATATTTCGAAAATTAAATCTGAAATTTATTTAAGTAATTTATTAAATATAATACTAAAGTTCTACAACACTGGATTCTCCACTTTCTTTCAATTGTGGGTTATCCTTTCACACTTATTTTGCTGTATTGACAATTTAAGACCAAAACAAAACATTATAAAAACAAACTACTGCAGCTGATAAAAGTAATTTATCATCAATTCTGTGGAAGCAATTCACCGAAATATGTCTCGGGCAAAGGCAGATGCAGATATAGTTACTCCAACGAAGAAGCTGCGTTTTCGTGGAGAACTAAATTTTCATAGCCGCGTTGATGAAAATTTCGATGATGAACATAAACGAAACAGCGGTGCTGGTAGTTCTGCCAAGGGAATCAATGCAAAACAAAATGTGGAGAACAAAGAGCACAGGGAAAAAGGTGAGTGGGCGTTGGTGTTGATCCGTGCAAACAAGTGGCGTTTTTGGTGATTTAATAGTGGTATATTTTTTTTATTGTTAACAGAAGAGTCACCTTCATTTATGGACTTTTTCAAGGTTGAGTTGACCCGAGGATACATATTGGAACACGATGAGGAACGTTATACAGCGCGTAGACAAAAAATTTATTCCTTTATGCGCATACCACGCGATCTGGAACGTTTTATTGTTTACGGTATAATGCAATGTGCTGATTCGTTCCTATACATACACACTTTCCTTCCCGTACGTTTCGTTTTGGCCACATGGGCACTGTTTTCACGACCCATTGCCAGTTGCTTAGGATTGCGAAGGCGCAGTCAGCGTTTACTGACACCGGCAGAAATTTGTGATCTACTTAAAGGCACAATATGGATAGCCTGTACATTTTTGATGCTTTCAGTAGACACAAATCGTGTATATCATATAATTAAATCCCAATCGATTATAAAACTATACATTTTTTACAATATGATTGAAGTTGGCGACCGGTTATTATCAGCTTTTGGGCAGGACACTATTGATGCACTCTTTTGGACAGCGACCGAACCAAAAAATTCGAAACGTGAACATTTTGGACTGTTGACGCACATTGTCTTTGCACTAATATATGTTTTGCTGCATAGTTTCCTAATTATGTTTCAGGTATGTAACATATAAATTGCAATGTTAGTTTCGTGCTATAATTAAAGATTTAACTTTTTATTTATCCAGGCGACTACCTTAAATGTGGCCGTAAATTCAAACAATAAAGGTTTGCTAACAATCATGATCTCCAACAATTTCGTCGAGCTCAAAGGATCAGTGTTTAAGAAATTCGACAAAAATAATCTCTTCCAACTGACGTGTAGTGATGTACGTGAACGTTTCCATCTGGCCGTGTTACTTTTCATTGTTATGATACAAACAATGAAAGAATTTGATTGGAGTATGAGTCAGTTCTGCGTAATGGTACCCGATTGCATTGCTGTGCTAGTGACGGAGGTTCTAATTGATTGGATTAAACACGCTTTCATTACGCGTTTTAACGAGATACCAGAGTTCATTTATCGTGAATATACTACCAGCTTAGCTTATGACATGACTCAGACACGGCAGAAGCATGCTTTTTCCGATCATTCAGATTTGGTTGCTCGGCGCATGGGTTTCATACCGTTTCCACTTGGCGTCGTGCTGATAAAAGCGATTTATTCGGCAGTTTCATTCAATAATGTCGCTGCTTGGGTGCTTTTTAGCCTGGCTTACATATTCGTGCTGGGTTTGCGCATTTGCCTGACCATTTGTGCTTTGGGTAAAGCCTGTAAATTAATGAAGGAACATCAAGACGAGAAAAGTAATTCGACGCCAAGCTCGGTAACAAATGCACCACCGATTGGTGGCAGCGGTGGCGCTGCTAGCGGTAGTAATATCGTGAATAGCGTTAGTACAATAGCTGGCCTTTCCACCTTATCCAGTACACCTAGTAACTCGCGCTCACGCTCGGATACTGCTGCATCACCTATTCAACCGATTCATCAGCTTCAGCGTTCCGTAACGGTAGATCAAAGTGCCTTTGCACCAACATCGCATAATTCAACTTCAACGCCTAAAACTCTAAAACCAGTACAAAAGTCCACCGTACCGCTCAATCCGAACGATGTTGAGTTGGACGTGAAGAACTCACTTGAGTTGGGTGCTACAGCGCTATTCTCTAACAGTGATGTAGACTTGGATGATGTATGCCTTAATGAGAAAGTATTAGAGCCAAATGCCAACGCTAATGCTTTTGTCGAGGAGGAACTGGCCCGTAGCGAACCTGAATTATCGCTACCACAAGAACTCCACGATACGTCTTTAAATGTTAGTAGCACAGCAACAAAGGATAGCGCTCAACTAGAACCGCCCTGCCGTGTGCCAAAACGTACGCACAAACGATCCGAATCCGAGCCGAGCATGCAGAGCATTGTGGGCGTGAGCGAGACTGAATCGCAGGCGTAGTGCTGCCGCATTTACGGTTCATTGATTTAAGCTTCTGATTTTTGGTTTTCCCGGTGATGCCCTATATACATATTTGGTTTAAGTTTTAACATATGTATGTGTCAATTTAAGAGTAAATTAATTTTGGTTGCTGCTTCGTGTATGTACAACATTCGTTTTTAACGGTAAGCAAGAAAAAAGACCTTTAGCATTTAAATAATTTAAAATCATTAGTTTGTTTTCTTTGTTTAATATTTACTTGATCACCGCTTAAGTTATATTGTATGTTTGTACTCGCTTGTAGGTATGTATTAAATACACTCGCATTATTGAGAACATTTAACGAAATGCTAGCTTAATTATTGGAATATTGTGTCTTAATATATGTGAACTAAAATCCCTACGCCATACCTTAAGAGCAGTAAAATTTTTCAATAAATTTAATATCATAAATAATCTATATTTTTTATTATCCTTAAACAACCTTGCAATATGCTGAGTACAGCGTGGTAATCTGTGGCATCCATTAAACTCCTACATCTGCATCGAAGAGCCAAATTGGCATAACTGTGGGCGAATTGGGCCTTGGATTTACGTTTTATGCAATTGTTTTTGCTGTATTTGCGTGAACACATAAATACATATGTATATATTTTAGTGTACATATGTATTTGGAAAAACTTTTGAAGTCGTTTCTATTGTTTCCGCAGGTTTTAGTCAAATAAATATCAGCTGTTTAAAGTCAAAAGAATTTATAATGCAGACATAAGTATGTGTGTATGTGTATATGACTTCTAATAATATATGTAGGTAAGCCCACACTTTACGCATCCGTTGAAATGCATTGTGGGTGTGTATCTAGTAGAAAAAAAGGTAAATTACCATAAAATTGTAAGAATCATTTGCTGCGAATTTATGGTATGAGACCACGACGGCTACCCTTATTGATAATATAATTCTTAGTGCTCACAGCATTAAGTATATTTTGGAATAAATTTTGTAGGATTTTCACATAGAGAGATAGTCATGACTAATTCAATTGCTTTATTTTTATTACCACACCAATATACTTATTTCTAAAAATATTTTCTACATGGTTATAACGTTCTGCGAAAATTTTGTATTCAATGACAGCTATAAATGACATTCAATGACAAACATATGCCGTATGTACATATGTATGTATATTGACGTCTATAGTCTCCAAAATTTTTTGTAATTTTAAATATGCTACCACAAGCCACCAGAGTTGAAAAAAACTAAAATACACTGCACAATAACTTAAACTACGGTTATAAATGGCTTCTAGGCAGCAAATGCGGAAATGGGCCAAATCAAACGAAAGTTAACAGGGAGGGAGTAAATAAATGTCATTGATAAAAACGATTAAAAGCTACAGCTGCGGTTAAACTGTGGTAACCGAGAACAAATCACTTAATGTGCCACTGAATTTGAGAGTATGCAACATAATGATTGGAAACAAGGCGACGCCGTGTAGGCGAGTCTACAACGTTTGGGAAAAATGCGCCAAAATACCGCTGTGCGTACTATCTATGGAACGGGAGAATAACTTTAAACATACACGCAGGTACATGTACATATATCAGTAAGTATATATCCGCAAAGGGTGTTCCCAATTTCTGTTATTTATTATTTAATTTTAGTTTTTGTTAAAGCTGGTTGAGTATTTGCTGCTTTATGAAATTGAAGCTAAATCCCAAAAGTGGGGTGTCATTGACCAAATTCCTAACCTAAAATTCTACAATTCTTATTTTATATTTCATGCTACTGGTTTTGAAGGTAAGAGAGACGGCGTATAGGCATCCAGGAATGAGGGGTCCAAAATGGACTGCGGTGTGGTAACTGCAAGGAACTTCTCTTCATCTTACCATCTACCAAACTCGGCTAGCATCTTCCAAGCGGAAGTACTAGGCATAGAGAAGGTCTGTGAAGTTCTGCTGAACAACTACGGGAGTATACAGAAATCGACCATTTACACAGAAAGCCAGGTGGCACTCCTAGGCTTGTTGTCACCAAAGATCAATTCCAGCGTAGATCATAAATGTAGAAAAGCTTTAATTTTCCGAGAAGTGATGATTCGGAGTAGTATTAGGAGATGTAAATCCGAGTTTTTGCGTCGATATGTGACAATGGGTGAAATACGGCCCCAACGAAGCTTT